CTTGGACACTCTTGGATAGGGGCAGTTTGCTTTGAAATGCCCAGGTTGTCTGCAGTTGTAGCAGAGGTACTCTCCATTGCTTTCAGAAGACTTGGTCTTCTGATGTGGTCTTCTGATGGAAGATGGACTCCTTCCATCTTTCTTCATGAATTTTCTGAATTTTCTGGCAAAGGCAGCCATATATTCATCAGATAGAAGAGTTGAGGGATCAAAGTTTGTTGCCTTAGAAGTACTGGCAGTGAGAGCAGTGGTGGTCCTTTCATCAGGAGCTTCTTCCTTCTCTTCATGCATCTCAAACTCATAAGCCTTGAGATCAGAGATGAGTTTCTCAGTGGCATATGTCTTGATGTTCTTGCTTTCCTGGACTGCAATCACTTTCATCTTCCAAGCTGAAGGCAGTCCCCTGAGGATCTTCATGTTGACCTCTTTGATGGTGAGCTCCTTCCCAAGCTCAGAAATCTCACTGATGAGAATCAGCAATCTCTCATGCATCTTAGCAATGCATTCTTCTGGTAGGAGTTTGAAGTCATCAAACTTCTTCATTGCAATGGTCAGCTTGTTGTCTCTTTCTTGTTCATCTCCTGCTCCAATCTCATCCAGCTTATCCCAGATTTCTTTGGCAGTTCTGCACTTCTTGATCCTGTTGAAGTATCTTTCATCAATAGCCTTGTAAAGAATGTCCTTGGCTATATTATTAAGGTTGTACTGCCTTTTCTCTTCCTTGGTCCATTCTGACCGGGCTTTCTCAATCATCTGGGGTTGAGAGTTGTCAATAGAGTGAGCAGGATTGATCTTCATGAACTGGATGAAGGGGCCATTTTCCAAGACTTCCCACATTTCATCATGAAGGGCACATAGATGTGCCTTCATTCTGATCTTCCAATCATCATATTTCTGATCTGTGAACATAAGATGCTTTGCAAGAGAATTATCCATTATAATAAATAAGGAGAGGCTAAGAACAAGTGGATCTTTGTTCAGAGAGTAACCTAAAAGATTACAAGAACAAGGAGGCTCTGATACCACTTGTTGGTCCCGTTTAGTATGGTAATCAGTCTAGAGGGGGGGGTGAATAGACTGATTGGTTTTTCAACTTTTTCTCAAAGTCAAAACTGACTTATCAGAGAAGGTCTGATTCTGATGACAGAGAGAGGCTGGTTCTGATATCAGAACTGGCCTTGGCAGCGGATTCTGATCTGTCCGGGTAGCCTCAGAAAAATACTAAGGCAAATGCCTTTCTGATAACTCCGAAAGCAAGATCTGCTGAACACAGATTCCAAGTCTTAGAGTTAATCAGATAATATCCTAAGTGCAGAAATATAAATTGCAGTAAAGTAAATGACACCGGATATTTTTATAGTGGTTCAAGGAACAACTCGTTCCTCTAGTCCACTGTTCCACTAGCTTTGAAGTAGATCGGTTACAAAGCTAATTCCCTAGCACTTAAGAAGCACTCCTCGTCTTCTTCAAGCCTAGATGCCACCCAGGATGCAGTTCCACGTCCTGATGGCTGGTCCTTTCACTCAGCTTCCCGGAAGTATCACCACTTCACTACTGCAGTTACTTGGACGCCCTTCTTTTCAGAAGATCCTTTGAAAAACAGAGTTTTTCCTCCAACTTGCTTCGTTACAAATGATGTTTGATGAAGTTCTTGAAGAGTTGAAGAACAGGATGAACTTTGCGTGCTTGTTTGTTGGGGATGAGAGATTTGGAGTTTGAATCTTCCCAACGTAAGCTTGTCTTGTTGAAGGTTGTGGAATTTGAATCTCAAGAGAGCTTGAATGATGATGAGCAAATGTTATAGCAAAGTTGTTTTCCTGATCTTCGGTGTGTAGCTTATATACTGAGGTTGTCTGCCCGTTGGAGGAGGAGACAACTGTATTAAATGCGCGTACAGTTGACTTGACCGCCGTTTTTGGAAGGTTTCTATTTTTATAATATATCTTCCCGGATTCTTTGGTCAATCATTTGCAATCAATCCTTCAGCGTATCAGGCTCATTTAATGTGCATTAAATGTTTTCCTTTCATGCACAGTCTTCTAGCCGTTGGATGTTTTTACCCGTTGGATTCATAGCTGTTGGATGTTGCTTGAAATCTTCTAAGTGTTAGTCGGGCTCTGATCAGGCTCTTCTGATGTGTTGGATTCTGATGGCTTACTGATGAGTTGAGTTCTGATGGCTTTCTGATCTCTGACTGAACTCTAACTCTGACTCTGATAGGTCCGCTGATGAGTACCTCTGATCTGTAACTCTCATCGGTTATCAGATGTCCAGGCTTATCAGCAACTCTCATGATGCACCTCTGATGGACTTCTGGTAAGAGAACTCTGATGGAGCAGTTCTCATAGAGGAAGTCTGGTCGAGCAGTTCTGATGCACTTCTGATCTGATCCAAAATAGAGCGACTCTGATCGTCGACTACACTAATACTTACAATTAAAAAATCTAATACATAAAATCTAACTTGGGGGTACTCTAACTTTCTAATCCTATAGCATCATCAAAATCTAATTACATTTATTCCTCACAATGACCATGAAAAAAACCAGAAACATAAAGAAACACTAAAAAACAAAATTTTTAGAAATGTCAACAAAAAGAAATCATATGCTACAAAAACTAAAAATATAATGATAATAATAATAATTCAAAATTTATGTACTTTAAGAAACATTTCATTCAAAAACAATTTTTTTTATTTTTTTTTCAATTTTATTATTTTATTTTTCATTTTTTTCCCTTTGAGTTTTTTTTATTTACACTATTCAAGTTATATTACCTTTCCGATTTTTAAAATTTTATATGCTCGTATATATTATATATTTTTTAATTTAAAATTTGAGAATTTTTTGATATTATTTTTAATATGATTTTTTTTCAAAAATATTTACTTTTTAATAAAAGTTTCTAAATAATTTTCATGTTATTATCAGTTTAAAAACATTTTTATCTTGTTTAAAATATGTTTCATTATTTATTTTTTAACCATTATATACGTTTTAGGAAAATTTTAATTTTTATATTTTTATAGAAATATATGATAAAATTACAATACAGAAACCAAACTTTGAACGTTTTTACAATTTCTCATATTTCAAACTTTTTATTGTTTTTTTCATGCTTTTTACGTTTTTATATGTTTTTTTTGTGATTCATTTTTAAAATTAATTTCATATTCAATTATTTTCAAGTTTAATTTTACAAGTTTCCAATTTTTTCTTCTTCTTTTATATTTCTTTTTTGAGTTTTTTGCTATTTTGTAAAATTAAATTTCATTTGACAGAAGTTTATTGTTGGATAAGCATATGCATATCATATTTTAGAATCTTTACGTTTTCATATTTAAAAAAAAAAAAAAAAACGATAGCTCCTGCACTTTGTATTACGAAGGATGAGTAAAGATTCCATGCTTACGTGTCAAATGAATCTAGTGTATTAAGTCAACTGTGCGTCCTGCGGAGCATAGTCTGAAAGAAAAAGGGGTTTTGTCAAAAATAATACTAAATGAAAAGTCAGGGACAAAAATAAGACTAGGTTTAAATTTTTCCAGAAATGTTATTACCGTGTCTTTTTTACCCTTTCATTAACAACAAGCGTTCCCTTCCCTGACTTGATTGCCGGTGACCAACACCGGTGGCTATTACAGTGACCATCTCCGGCGGCCAATTACAGTGACCGCCTCCGGCGGCCAGTTACAGTGACAACCTCTGGCGGCCAGTTACAGTGACAACCTCTGGCGGCCAGTTACAGTGACAACCTCTGGCGGCCAGTTACAGTGACAACCTCCGGCGGCCAGTTATAGTGACAACCTCCGGCGGCCAGTTATAGTGACAACCTCCGGCGGCCAGTTACAGTGACCACCTCTGGCGGCCAGTTACAGTGACCACCTCCGGCGGCCAGTTATAGTGACCACCTCCGGCGGTCAGTTATAGTGACCACCTCCGGCGGCCAATTACAGTTACAGTGATAGTGACCGCCGCCGACGCCGGCAACAGCAGCAATGACTTTTGTCAGACCCGATGGCCACAAACCGCCGCGACTACAACTGCCCCGCCACAACCCCCTGCCCCGCTCTAGCATAACAAGCCCCACAAAACCAGAGATCTAGATCTGTCGTGGCCACCAAAGTCGTCAGTGGCTTCCAAATCCGACGAAGCACGTTGCCGGAGTTGCCGGAGCTGCCGGATTAGAAGTTCCTCGCTGGATCTACGAAGCTCATCGCCGCCGCAGGAGGGAACGACAACGGAGCGAACGACGGCGGTTTCCGGACAAAGAGAAAGGAAGAGAAGAGAAAGAGAGGAGGAGAGGAGTTCCAGTGGCAGGTTTAGCCGCCGCCGTCATTGCTCTTCGTAGTCGCCGCCTCCGTCTCTCTTCATAGGAGCCGCCGTCGATCGAAGAGTTGATGCAGATGAAGATGAGGGTTGGCTGGAATGAGGTTTGGTCTCCATCTTCGTAACAAATCTGGTCGCCATATGCCCATATTCGTTGGACGAAACTCGCCATATATGGCTAGAGCTGCGGTATTCATCGGATGTGAAATGGGGAAGTTGAGGAGATTGAATTTAGGGTTGAGAGCAGGGTTATTTGAGACCTTTTACTCTTCTTTAAATCACTTTTATGTCTAAAATCCCATCGGCCCAGATTTTTGTCTATATGGGGCTTGATAGTCTTCTTTTAGTCATTCTTTCAAAGAAAAACCTTACGTAGTTTATATTTGAAAAGAAATCTACCGAGAGACAAAAGTGATATATTTTTCACTTTTAAGACTATTTGTGATATTTTCCCATGTTTATACGCGTGATATAATGGACCTTTGATTTCACAACCCTTGTATCTTAGAGGATCTGTGGGAACATAATCTATCAAGAGTTTGCATGGGCTCTTAGCATGATTCCATTTGGCCCAATTATGAGACGTCCAACTGCGTAGGGTTCTGAGAGGCCCCTTTTAAAACCATACCCCTCGCACAAACATCCTAGCCGAGGAGAGTGGAGAGGAGAGGGATCGGAGCTTGGCGGCGGGAAGATGGTTACCTACAAAGTAAGCTTACATATTATTATCTGTTTATGATTTAGGATCAATCGTATACATGCCTTCCGTTTCCATATTTCCCGTCTGAAAATGACGGCGAGTGGGTGTACTCTTTGCAGTTCCACCAGTACCAGGTCGTCGGTAGAGCTCTCCCGTCGGCGTCCGATGAGCAACCTAAGATTTACCGCATGAAGCTCTGGGCCACTAATGAGGTCCGTTCCAAGTCCAAATTTTGGTAATAGCCCCCATCTCCTCTTTTGTAATAGATCGTGAACGCTCAACTCGTACGCTCGCGATATTATTTTGTATTTACTTATTTCTTTGTCTAATTATACCTTTCTACAAACAAGGTATTTCTTGAGGAAGCTGAAGAAGGTGAAAAAGTCCAACGGTCAGATCCTAGCTATTAATGAGGTATTTCCATACCGATAGGTTTTGATTATGTAGGTTATTGATCAAATTGTAGCATTTTACCTCAAGAATACGGACCAGCTAGTACCAACTTGTTATTTGAGCAGCAGATCAATTGAAATGTGTTTAGTTTTTCTAATCTGGTGGATTTCCTCTACCCAGTTCTTACATCTGTATGCATTTGCGTAACAATCCCATAACTTGTTTGATTACATTCTTAATTTCGAAATATTGCCACTTTAAATATAAGCTTTTAATCTACAAAAATTGCTTTGGCCATGGACTGAACAAATGAATGTCTACATCAATTCTTAAATGTGTTCTTCATTAATTCAGCAATTTCCCTCCTTGTCCGATTTGGGTTTTACAGATCCTCATTGAGCATCAGGGAAGAAGTATGATATCCCATCTTTGGGGACTGAATCTGGTCATTCAAAGACTGTGTCTATTTTGAATTTAGGTTTGCCTAAGACCATTCTGTTAAAACTAAAAAATCAAGTTTCAAAATTGTAGTGTAACATAAAGATAACAAAAGTCTGTCACAATCCAGAGTAGAGATAACATCACATTACCAAATGCTAAGAACAGTGAATTGCCCAAACAGGATTAAAAGTAGGCTAAATAAAACTGGGCTAAATTCAAAAATAGGCCTACATTGTTTCAAATTCCCTAAATAGGACTAATTGTGTGTGTTTGGACAAATATTACCCTTGTAGTCTTTTGAATCTGGTCATTCAAATATCATGTCCATTTTGAATTTAGGCTTGTCTAAGTTGAGTCTTTTAACTTAGACTTTTACCAAATGCTAACAAGAGGGAATTGCCCAAATAGGAGTAAACCGGGCGAATTCAAATATAGGACTATCTTGTTTCAAATCCCCTAAATAGGACTAGTGCTCACAAAGGTCTCTTCCAATCCCACTATTACATTTACTTGACTTTTTCTGTTTTTTTTGGTAAATGTGTGAAGCAATAGAATAAGATACAAATACTTTGTGAAAAGTGTTGTATTTTATTGTGTATATACATAGTATAATGTATTACTACCTCCGTCCCCCTAAGTTTGGGACACGAGAAGGTGTCACTTTTATTAATAAAAGTGAGTTTATGTGGTTGATATTGAATTGATATAGTAAGAATAAAGTATGAATGATTTAGAATCACACAAACTTTACCAAATAAGGTATGAGACAATCTTAGTGGGACAGACCAAAATGGTAAAATGGGACAATCATAGCGGGATGGAGGGAGTATTATTGTTTACCGTGTATTTGTAGAATTTTAGATTTTAGGCCAAACATGACATAACTTGTAAACCCAGAGACATGAATGATGACTATGCCCCTAGCTGTAACCCATATAATGTCCAGAACTTATTCCATCACTTGAACGTTTGTTTGATTTAGGGAAAAGGGGCAAATAAGGCCCGTACTAACCAAAAAAGGTCAAATAAGGCCTTATTTAGGAGGCTCTGCCCGGCCGTCGCCATTTGGGATGGTTCCTGGTGGAATTTTTTGATGAAATTTTTTGAGCATCTTATTCATTAAGTCTAATTTATCCATATCAAATTTCAGCTAAAACTTCAATCGAGTAGGCATTCAAATGAATTCTTGAAGATAATTGCGAAGTTAAAAGCGCAGTTATCTTCAAGAATCCATTTGAACGCCTTCCCGATTGAATTGTTAGCTGAAATTTGGTATGAGTAAACTAGACTTAAAGAATAAGATTATCAAAAAATTTCCACCGGGAACCACCCCAAATGGCGATGACTGGACAAAGCCTCATAAATAAGGCCTTATTTGACCTTTTTTGGTTAGTATGTGGCCTTATTTGCCCCTTTTCTCTTTGATTTATGGTGTTTTGCCAACAAGCTCTTCTCATTAGTGAGTCAGGTCATATGGTGTGCTCGTTTCTATCTAATTGTTGGGTGATTATTTGTGTATGTACACAGATCTTTGAGAAGAATCCAACAACCATCAAAAACTATGGGATATGGTTAAGGTATCAAAGCAGGACAGGGTACCACAACATGTACAAAGAGTTCCGTGACACAACCTTGAATGGAGCAGTTGAGCAGATGTATACAGAAATGGCTTCCCGTCATCGGGTCCGCCAGCACTGCATCCAAATCATCAAGACAGCCACTATCCCGGCCAAGCTCTGCAAAAGAGAGAGCACCAAACAATTCCACAACTCCCAAATCAAGTTCCCATTGGTCCTCAGGAAAGTCAGGCCTCCTAGCAGGAAGCTAAAGACCACCTACAAGGCTTCCCGTCCCAACCTCTTTGTTTAGTGATTTTGTCGTTGGCTAATGTTTTTTTAGTTGCTTATTCAACCCCTTTTTGCAGAGAGGAATGATGTTTAAAGAAAATTATTGTTCGTCAACAGAAGTGTTCTGTGGATTTTAAACAGACTATGAATCATGTTACAAGTGACTTATCTATCATTCACCTTATGAAACTGGTATACCCTGTGTGGGTCCTGTTTGTATTTCAAATTTCAATGAACTAAATTATTTTCATACAACTTCTACTCTTCAAGTCTTTGATTCTTACGAAGTTACCACATAATTGCATGTTCACTCAGTAATCTTTGCTAAACTTAATTAAGGGATGTTTTTTCATACCCCGTAGTATAATTTCAAGTTGCCTTGAATTACAAGAGTAATTTGGATTTGCTTTTATACTATCTGAATATATGAAGTTTACCTTGTGCTGAAATAAGATGTGGTAATGTTTTGCTTCAGCCTTCAGGTAATGCGATCTTTTATGCAAATGTGTTTATCTTTCACATATCGTTCCAAAAAGCACAAGGCCGTCAAAGAAGATCAACATTTCATTAGTTAAGGCAGTTTGCAGTAGGGGTGGCCCACTCACCTGTGGTTTAAGGTTCCAGCGGAACTGGAACTGCCAGTTTTTGAACTGAAATTTGAATTGCATAGTACTAGGCCTGGACTCGGGCCGGTTTGGGCCCGGTTCGGGCCTGGGCCCGGCCGGGCCTCGGGCCAGGAAAGCTGGGCCTGAACCCGAACCGCCGGTGGGCGGTTCCGGGTCCGGGCCAAACCGGGCCGGGCCGGGCTGGGCCTAACCGGTTCTATTTTTTTTTTTTTGGCTCTTCTATTTAACCCCCAACCCCTCCCCCTCAACCCCAAACCACCTCAAATGGCCCAAAATACCTAATCCAACCCAAAACTTAAAAAAAATTCAAAATTCAAAAAAAAAAAAAAAACCGGCCCGAACCGGCCAGGCCGGTTCACCAAAAACCGGGCCCTGGACCGGGCCGGGCCAAACAGTAACCGGGTCGGGCCGGTTCCGGGCCGCCCGGCCCGCGTCCACCCCTACATAGTACTTTCAGATTGAAACTGGAGGTTCCCTAGTTCGGTTCAGTTGGTTGAAAATTTGAAACCATCGGTAAAAGACAGTCAAACTTACATTATACTAGATTACTAGTAATATTACTAATTCGAAGGAATTTGGTATTGCATATCAGATTTTGGCCTATACTTTTGAAGTTATATATGCATAGGTTATATAATGAACGGAAAAACCATCATCCTTGAGAAATTGAGTCACTTTTTCTGATTTCCACACCTTGTTTGTACAAAAAAAATTGAAATGAGGGAACAAATACAAAGCCTAATGAGGTCGCAATCTATCTATAGTTTCGGATATATATTTGTTGCGTCTTTATAAATGAGCGTCAGTTGTACAAAAAATAGATTCCAGTGTTGTACAATAAACAGATTCCAGCTCATTAAGCCACCAAATTAGAGCTGCTGCTGCTTATCTCTACTAAGCCAAGCACCTCTTTGTCTTTGGATGAGCTCCAACTCACGAAGTCGGTCATCCTCTTTACGCTGAAGTTCGAGAGCCTTTCTCTGGGCCTCTTCCACCCTCCTCCGGTTCTCCTCCAGCATCTTGTCCAGTTCATCTCTCTCTTTCCTTGCTTGCTCCTGTTTCATTCCATTCGTTTCACAACCATCACTCCCAATTAGGCAAATACCTCAAGGCTATGTTTGGATCGTTGAAAGTGAAATTTTAAGGAAAAATATTAAGGAAAAATATTATCTCGTGTTTGGTTTCAAACCAGAAATGAAAGGGAACACGTTTGATTAATGCTTTTCAAAATTGAAATAAATGAATTCAATGAGCTTGAAAACTTACTATACAAAAATAAATTTATAGTTTTGAACCAATTTTTTTAGTTTAAGTGCATTTCCTTTCCTTCAAATTTTGCTCCCTATATTTTCCTCATTTTCTTTCCCTAGCCTTCTCTGAATTCTAAATGAACACTAAAGGTCTGATCAGTCATGATGCATTGGTTAAAAAGAAGTTGTAGAGGTAAGAAATTGGTCGAAGATATAAATATAGAGGACATTTTTGCACTTATTTGTTGGGGTCATTTAATTTGAGAGAGTGGAAACAAAAGTGTTTTCAAATAGTTTCTTACTTCTTTTCGCCTTGCCTCATTGAGAGCATCTTCTTTTTCTTTTCTCAGTTGAGCTTCAACATCCTCAAACAGTTTTCTCTGACCTTCTTCCACTCGTTTTTCAATTTCCAGTTTAACTTCGTCAGAAGCCAACTTCTCCTCAACCCTTTTCCTTATTTCTTCCTCCAATCTGTTTGCTGTCTCCTCTTCTAACTGCTTGAGCTCAGCCTCTAGTTGAAGTCTAAAACAATTCATGTTGTAAGATTGTATAAGGGCACAGCAATACAGCTTTGGTAGTAAAAAGATTAAGACACAACACAACCCGCGGCAAATTCTATGTAGCACCGATACCGGTACGCGGAAACGCGGAAACGGGTACGGGGATACGTCAAAACCAAAAAAAGTAGGATACGGATACGGGGCCATATTTATAAATATTAAAAGTTACGGGGGCGTATTTACAAATATTAAAAGTTATAGGGGTCTATTTATAAATATTAAAAATAGATTTTTTTTTGAATATATATATATATACACATATAATATCCTATGATGTCTACCCATTCATTGCATTGAAACATTTTTCTTTTTCAAGATACTTAGTAATAAATTCATAATATTTCTCATATACACTAGTGTATCTCGAAATATAAATGTAGTCAATAAGTCATTAATTTAAAATGAGAAATAAGTCAAACAACTACAATCTTGAAATTAAAAGTGCAAGTACCCACTTCGGAGTATGAGTTAATGACTTAATTCGGATATAGCCATATAGGCCCATTATTTGATTACCAAGTAAAATGTAGTTTTAGATTTTCATGTATTTTAGAATTTTATTAAGTAAATTTTGGGATTTTTTTTTTAAAAAAAAGTTGATACGGGTATCCGTCAGGATACGAGTATCGGAAACTTTCAAAAAATTACAAAAAAAAATGGAAACTTTTAAAATTGCAGATACGGCCCGGGAACGTACGGTACGGGTATCCTAGAGTATCGGATACAGGAACGTATCCGATACGCCAATACGCTATCCTAGGGAAGTATCCGTGCTTCATAGGCGGCAATACAAGCCGAAAATGACCTAATATGGACCAGGCTATTGTTAAATATTCCATCCGGCAGAAAACAAATCAATCCTGTTATCAAAGATTCTTTTGTCCCGAAAAACCCTACTTGATCAAACGAAGCTCATCTTTCAAGTAATATCATTACTACTTTCTATACTTCACTATTAACACAATATCATGACTCCAGAAACCGTTTGGATTTGACTGAAGGAAATACAAGCACAAGTCTACACAAACTAACTAGTGTTAACTAATTTACTAGTTAAAATAGAATTGACTAGTAATTCAGTGCCAGATACCTTTTCTTTTCTTCTTCTTCCTTTTTAAGTTTCTCTACTGCACTTTTAAGATCAGCTGATTGAATACTAGGACTACGAGACTTGGGTGATGGAGAATCCAAGGAAGAACTCCGACTTTGTCTTCTCCTATGGCGTTTGGGTGTAGGGGAACGGCTTCTCCTGTGTCTTAAAGGTGGCGAACGACTTCTTCTCCTGTGCAATACAAGAAGTAAAACATATGAGATTAATTGATAACAAAATAACGTTAAAGGAGGTGGTTACAATTCCGCAATTTCATCAAGAAATTTTGAAGCATTTGATTAAGGAGTTGTTTGGTTGGGGATTTGGGAGAGAAATCAGAGAATGGATGGGGGTATTACTTTTTGTTCAACACTTCAACTAAATCTTCTATATCTGTTAGTTTAGACTAGAAAATAACAATATGTTTAGTCAAATAATGTGTTTCTATATAAATATGCATCTTCACTTTCTTTCCAATCATCAAAACGTAAATTGACAATGTAAATATCACACATCCTCTTCCCTCCTGTTTGAAATCTCTCAGCCAGAAAAGCTAGAGGATCTATAATTTCCCACCAGCTCACGACTATGGCTATAACCTTTATAGACGCCACCATGACAACTATGCGTGTATCCCTGATTAAACAAAATTTGAAGCCATTTGACGTATAGAGTTTTACTTACAACATTGAAGGTGGTAGCTCTAAAACATCTTCAGCTATCAAATACTCCATCTGACCCAAATTATAGTGGTTTTAGCCAATTTTGTTGGCCAAATATAATTATCATTTCACAAATGTAATGCATATTGGGCATTAATCTTCCCAATTAATCTTCACATACTTTTCATATTAAATGTCATTCTGTCTTTCAAAAAAACTTTTACAGGGATAGAAATTTCATTTAATAATATTTCTCCAAATGTGTTCCCTTTTCTAAAGAATCAATTTTTTAGGACATGAGTACAATTTCTTCTCCATAGTTACCCAATAACCAAACTGTGACCTCCCACAGATCTTCACTTCCACTTAAGGACAAACTTGATGCTTCCCCAAACTACTAAACATTCTAAATTATTCAGACAACATTATATCCACACTCACAGAAGTACCTTATAATGGCTTGATTGGTCAATAATCAGCTTGAAATGCGAAAAAAGAAACATATTTGTAAAAATGAAACGATGTGCAGATAAACACGGTGCTTTGAGCATTCCCTTAAAGCACTAGTACTTGACTATATATTTCTTTGAAGTCAAAACATGAAAATAGAATTCCTAAGATAATACCTGCTAGAGTAAGGTGAACGGCTATGGTCCCGGCGGCTTCTATGGTTGGCATAGCGGTGATTTACGGGTGACCGCGACCGAGATGATCTCCTCCTAGGGTAAGACGGCGACCGAGAAATACTCCTTCCCATAGTCGCGTGTCTGCAAATAGTGCTCGGATGTGCGCAGCGTGTGCACTTCAATCTCTGTAATTTACCAAAATGGCATCTGGAGGAGTGTGTACAATATGTACAACACTAAAAAATTATGCCAAACAATGCAAAACAGTGTCAAAACAATAAAATTTACTTCAAGTAAGTTTATTTCCTTAATAAGTGTATAAGTCAAAGCAGGAACATCTTTGCGGGATGAGGGAGTTATATCTTGACTTGCGCAGTGCACGAGTTAAAATGATTTTTTATTTTTAGTATGAAAATAATTTATTTATTCAATTATAACGTTGATTTATGATGTATATTCTAATTTATTGAGTATTTCTTATTTTTAAGGAAAAATTCACAAGAATAATCCCAACTATTAACTATCTTACATTATTTTTTTGAAAATGATGCTTTATCTATTATTAATTAAATCATGCTGGAGTTCAGGAGTAATACAATCAGGAGGAACATAATGCCAAATTCGGCGATCAGACAAGGAACATGCCACCAGAGCTAAAGCATGAGCAACTCTGTTCGCAGAACGCCTCGTGTGAGAAAAGGAAATGCTCTCGAAATGCATACCAATAGCCTTAATATCTTGAGATATTACCCGAAATAGGACTAAAAATGTTTGAAAATTCCAAAATAGGGCTGCCATGATTTTATTCCCAAAATAGGACTAATTACTGTCATGTTTTAGCAGTACCAGACTTCAAGCATAGCAGTATTTTCCAAACTTGATAGTAGTTACTCCCATTTTTGGGAATAAAAAACATGTCAGTCCTATTTTGGAATTATCAAACTGTTTTAGTCCTATTTCGGGAACTTTCCCTAATATCTTCCGCTAAAAGACCTGTATACAACTACAACCCTTTGAAATTTCCGAGATAGCTTGCAGTGAATCTGACTCAACAACAAGAACAGTGTATTGTTGTTCCTTTGCCCAGTTGAGAGCCTCTCTTATGGCCAGCAATTCAGCCTCAACTGGAATACATCCACCCATCCACGGACAGGCTCCTCCACCTCGGAACTCCCATCGACCGTCCCTTACCACCCATCCGAAGCCACAACTTGAAGCAGCCACCGAAGCATCAACATTTATTTTCAATCTGCCAGATGATGGTCTCTGCCACACAGCTTCTCGGAAAGGTGCTGCCATTCGAAGCCACCTCCTTTCTTCCGTGCCGTAGCCCATCCTTTAACATAAGCCTTCGTCCGGTGCACTATCTGAGCTGGTGAATCCTCCCGCTGCTGCCATACCCTCTGGTTTCGTTCACACCATATTCCCCAGCACCCCCACACAAAGGAAATTAATCTCCACCCACTCTAGAAATGATGATGTCGAGTGCAGCGCCTCCTGCCATCCCAAAATACACCCCACCTCCAACGCTAGAGGACATTTAGCAAACAAGTGCAGCAGCGTCTCTTCTGCCCCCTTGCACAATCCACAGATCAACGGGCAGTTTACCCTCCTGCAACGCAAAGCCCACTGAGTCGGGAGAAATCCTGCACACACTTGCCAAAAGAAGTTCTTGATTTTAGGGGGGAATAGCCCACTTCCACATTTGGGTCCATCCCTGCCATTACTTAATCGTTTTAATCCGTCGATTGAGTTGGTTTTCCACTTCATTCTTATAAAGAATGAATTTATCAATTGCTTCGTGTTTATTTTTCAACAAAAAAACATAGCTATAGCTAGTGATATCATCGATAAAGGTAATAAAATATTTATTACGGCCACATGTTTTTATTGATTTAAAATCACAAACGTCACTATGAATTAATTCTAGTGGTTCCATTTTTCTTTCAACCGATTGAAAGATGTTTTCGTTGGTTTTGCCTCTAAAGAAACTTCACATTTGTGCTTCACATCAATTTTAAATTTAGGAATGTATTCCATGTTAATTAATTTATGTATAGAATTAAAATTAACATGTCTTAGTCTACCATGCCACACATTGAGAGACTCAAGCAAGTAAGTAGAAGGGATTTTATTATTATTATTATTATTATTATTATTATTATTATTATTATTATTAGTATTATTATTATTATTATTGTTATTGTTATTGTTATTGTTATTGTTATTGTTATTGTTATTGTTATTGTTATTGTTATTGTTATTGTTATTGTTATTGTTATTGTTATTGTTATTGTTATTGTTATTGTTATTGTTATTGTTATTGTTATTGTTATTGTTATTGTTATTGTTATTGTTATTGTTATTGTTATTGTTATTGTTATTGTTATTGTTATTGTTATTGTTATTGTTATTGTTATTGTTATTGTTATTGTTATTGTTATTGTTATTGTTATTGTTATTGTTATTGTTATTGTTATTGTTATTGTTATTGTTATTGTTATTGTTATTGTTATTGTTATTGTTATTGTTATTGTTATTGTTATTGTTATTGTTATTGTTATTGTTATTGTTATTGTTATTGTTATTGTTATTGTTATTGTTATTGTTATTGTTATTGTTATTGTTATTGTTATTGTTATTGTTATTGTTATTGTTATTGTTATTGTTATTGTTATTGTTATTGTTATTGTTATTGTTATTGTTATTGTTATTGTTATTGTTATTGTTATTGTTATTGTTATTGTTATTGTTATTGTTATTGTTATTGTTATTGTTATTGTTATTGTTATTGTTATTGTTATTGTTATTGTTATTGTTATTGTTATTGTTATTGTTATTGTTATTGTTATTGTTATTGTTATTGTTATTGTTATTGTTATTGTTATTGTTATTAGTCATTACATTGAGCTTAAAATGCCCATCAGCCACATATCCCTTTTCCACATACATTCTCGATTTAGACAAAACTAATTTGTCCGACTCAAAGACCATACGGAAATCGTGTTTGTTCAGCACCGACCCAGAGATTAAATTCCTGCGCACTTCTGGAACAAACAGCACCTGTTTCAGAGTCAGTTCCTTGCCCGAAGTCATCTTCAGGACCACCTTGTATGTTCCTTCAATAGCGGAATGGGCTGAATTTCCCATCCATACCTTCTCGCCATTTGAGGCCTCAAAGGTACTGAACAGCTCCCGGTTTGAGCAAATGTGCCAGGTAGCTCTGGTGTCGACAAACCACTCCTTGGAGTTTGAACCAACTAGCTTGACCTCAGTCACCACAGCAGAGAGGATCATTTCTCCCCCCTCTTTACCACCTCGCACCACGTTGACTTGAGAATCTTTCTTCTTTGGTGCTTTGCAATCTCAGGACTTGTGTCCATTCTTGTTGCAATTGAAGCATTGTCCATTAAACTTTGGTTTGGAAATGCCTCCCTTGGGACAGAGCTTGTTCTTTCCACCGAACCTGGGTTTGGAGCCTTTAGCATGCTACACCACATTGGCTTTGGTGCCACTAACGACTGGAAAAATTCCATCATTCTTGCGATTGTCCTCTTTAATCCGAAGACGTAGGATCATTAATTGCTCCAAGTTCGTCTCCTTACGCTTGTGCTTAAGGTATTTCTTGAAGTCCTTCCATGCCGGCGGCAATAAGTGGATGATTAACGCCACTTGGAAAGATTCACTAACCTCCATCCCCTCATCTCGAATCTTGTTGAAGATCATTTGAATCTCCTCAACCTGACTCAAGACCATCTTTGAATCCACCATTTTAAAGTCAAGGAAATGACCAACAAATTTCTTTGCGCCGACATCCTCGCATTTGTACTTGTGGTTCAAAGCGTTCCATAGCTCCAGCTAGCTTGCTATAGACATCATAGAGAGCATCATGCAGCCCGTTCAACACATAGTTTCGGCAAACGAAGTCTGAATGCTTCCACGCCTCAACCGCATTGACAGATTGCACATCCCTCTCTGGTTTCTTTAGAAGTGGCACATCCTCGGTCAAGAACCTTGCCAAGCCAAGGGTAGTGAGACAGAATAGCATCTTTTGCTGCCACCTCTTAAAGTTCAACCCATTAAACTTTTCGGGTTTCTCCACATAGTTACTAGGCACAGTAATCATAGGGATTGGACCTTGGTTAGCCAAAGCAGATGTTCCGCGTTGTGAATCAGTGTTCACCGGAACTCCACTTTGAGAGTGAGTTTCATTTTGCCGAACAAGAACATTTTTGTTACCAAGAGATCCCATTTTTATTTCATTTTTCAGAAAAAACACGGAGTTAGTTTTTAAGTTTGTTTCAGTAGTGAAACAACTTTCGTAAAAACCAAACCGCAACGTTTATAGTGAATTAGTTTTAAGATTGTAGGAGAAATCAATGTTTGGTTTTTCCGAAAAATAAGAAATTAAAGGAAATTAAGAAAATGGCCGAAGGAATTGGACAAAGAACTGGTCACAGGTTCAGTCAAAGCGTATGCAACACACAGTATCCTTAAAACTAATTCACTGCCTCCCACGGTACTAGGAGCGTTGCAGTGTTAGTTTCCCACGATACGATAACTGATGAACAACCGTATTGAGCACTCAATAGGTTGCTCTGGCGAACTGGAACAAAGGGTAGAACTCAGGAAGTTTTATCGCAAGTTTGACACAGTTTTTCTTTCAAGACTTCGCTACGAGTATTTTGTGTGATCTCTTGTCGTGTGTTTTCGTTCTGTATGTTGTGTGTTATGTGACTCCAAAATCAGATGCCAAGCTTTTATAGGGGAGGAGGAGCCTTAGTATTAAATTTGCATTCAACTGAAACCGCCCATTAAACACACACTTATTATGTGGCAATGATTATGAACGTTTCAAACCACTAACCATGTAATTAAACCATATTTTAATCACATTTACAGTATCTAAACGTTAGGCAATGTTCGAAATTCTAGCAGTATGAAGAGAGGTTAGAACGACCATTAACCGATGGTAGTTCTACGTTTAGTTCTACCTTTTGAAATTTCCAACTTCTCCATCTCAACAAGTGAACTTTGAGAATCAATTTCTCATTCACTTATTATCTATTTTGAGTGTACCACATATGGAATTGACCCCTTACAAAAAGGAGATTCTGGAACACTTTGACCCGACCAAAATCGAAAGTGGACCCCACTCAAAATACTGCCCGAAATAGCCATTTAATGCAATTTTTAA